CTCTTCCTGTGAGGGAGCGTGGGCACGGCCAGCGGGATTTAGTCTCTCCTAGTTTTCCAGTTTCTTCTCTGTAGTTTCTTCTTCGGCTTCGTTCTTTAGCTTGCTTTTCTTGGGCATTTTCTGAATGATGGGATGCTTGCAGGCGAACGGGAAGCTTTTGTTTATAGTTACAAGGTGATGGCACGATCAGAGCAATATCTGTCTTCTCTTTAGCATTACTGCTGGAGGTGTAATGGACGTTAACACCGCCCTGCAAGAAGTGCTGAAGACCGCACTTATCCACGATGGCCTAGCTCGTGGTATTCGTGAAGCAGCCAAAGCCTTGGACAAGTAAGTGTTCCCATTTTGCCTATGGAGAATAGCAACACTGGGTGAGGTATGTTGAACACGTGCATTGCTCACTTCTGTCAGTGAGTTTTGTCTTTTGGTCTCTGTTTTGGGGTCTTTAACTTAAAGATGCTAAACTCAATGATTCAAGAATAATAGCATATAGTTTATTACATTCTGTCTTTTTGTGACCCCAGGGCTTTTGAGTTTTCATGTGGATTTATTATTTGAAGAAAATGGAATGATGCTTGCAATTTGTAGCTATGGGAATCTGGGGATCAAGAATCTTGTGTTTTAAGAAAAGATAAAGCTCTTCTCAAAGTTTCTAAGAATTCTAATTGGGAGGGTTAATATGTGTGTCAGCTTTAACCTGGAAGAGTTGGTTTAGGGTTTTTTGAGGAAAAACTGACATTCATAGGTTGCCTCTGCTTTTTTGGTAGCTTCATATTTTGTGTTTCAACTGTAAATAATTGCTTTGGTACAGTATCAAAATATTAAACTTTTTGTGTATGTTAACCATGGTAACTTGTTACGGTTTCTTGGTAGGTTGAAGTACTTTGTATATGTGCATACATACGTACACACACGCACCTGTGTGTCTTTATATAGGCACATTCTTCTTAGTGATTAAGTATAATGCTACAGTGTTTGGATGATGACTTAACAGTTTGTCGGATACCCCTTCACTCATCTTATGAGTGAGAACAACAGTCTGACAAACCTGTGTGCAAGAAGTTAAGACAAGTTACCAAATAATTGAGGAGAAATGCAACTTATATGACTTGACAGCTGGTTTGTAAGAATCAGCTGTAACTTCATATGCTGTGTGTTAGGAGGATGATGTATGTACAAGGTTTATATACGTTTGTGTGTGATGGTTCTTCCTTGGAAAGCTTGTTTCTGAAACATTCTGGTGAAGCTCATGATGAAGGCCAAAGAGAAAACTGACTTTGCAATGGTCAAATTACATTAGGTTAAACATAGAAGACCTACACAGCTCTCTTTGTTGTCAGGTATCCCTTTGGTATTCTTAACATTGTACCACAGTATACAAAGATCCTAATTAGAATTGAGGCCCTGTCATAACAGCTGCTTTGAATGTAAGTAGAAAAGATTGTTTTGAAGAGCTTATAACAACTTGATGTGGAAATTCAAGCTTTTATTAATGACAATTCTGATGTTAAAGTTATTGTAATCTGAGGTAAACAAAAAGTAGTAACTTGTAACTTGGTTGCTTTCTAATAGTGACACCAGTTCTTTGTGGTACTTGGTGTTTATCCAGTTGTTGCACCTTTTATCAAGTGGCTGAGAATTGGGATTTTTAGAAGCCTCCAAAACTAGAATAGAGTCTGATAAAGCTAACAATGTCTGAGTAGTCTGTTATGTGTATGAAAAACATAAAATTTAGTAGGTCATATCAAAAGTATATATAGTATTTCAAAAGCATATGGTGTCTTAAAACCCAAAATTAAACTTAGGAAGTGGTTGTCTAGAAATGCATGCAATGAATTTTGTTTTTCAGGTTTGATTATTTATTAAAGTTTAAGCAGTGTCTGAAGTTACATTTGTCAATTTTCATTTTTTTTAGACGCCAAGCCCATCTTTGTGTTCTGGCTTCAAATTGTGATGAACCCACATACGTAAAATTAGTGGAAGCACTTTGTGCAGAACATCAGATCAACTTAATAAAGGTGAGTATCAGAACTTCACACACAAGTTCGGAATAGTTATCTTGCAATATAAGCTGCTTGTTTCAGCATATAGAGAGCTGAACCTTTGAAACGGCTATAATTCTGTATTCGGCTTATCTAAACAAAACTAGCAGCAGGGATTGTTTTAGTTCTGTGTGATTGTCATAGAAGCAGTACAAAAACTGGCAAAGAATGTGTATCAGGTATCTTGCAAAGTTAAAATGAATTTTTGTGTCTTGTATAAATAAGAAATAGAACTAATGCTGCATGTGTTGTGGAGCATGGGAGGAGTCGCACCATGACTTTTTATCCAAATTAAAATACTTACAAGCTGTACAATGATGATACTTTGGCTCCCTCTACTGATGCTTGTGAGGAAAGCAGCCATCCGTTACCCAATACTTCTGAGAGTACAGCAGCTTTTTTGCTGGACCCAGTTATGTTAGAAATGGCTAGTTCTAATGTGGTGCAATGTTTTACACAGGTTGATGACAACAAGAAGCTAGGTGAATGGGTAGGTCTCTGCAAGATCGACAGAGAAGGAAAACCTCGCAAAGTGGTGGGCTGCAGTTGTGTCGTTGTCAAAGTAAGATGATGCTAGTTACAGCTTATTTCTTGACTTCTGAAAATAAGTGGTAAAGATAAGGTTGCTTTAGATAAGGGACTCTTAAACAGATCTCTTAATTTTTTTAAACAGTTGCTTTCCATTGTTGATAATAAAAATAAACTGTTTCCCTTTTCTATATTCCCTTTCATGTTAATTTAAAATACTTCTATTTATTTTGTGAGTTAGTGGTTGTGTCCTTAAAGTATCTTCACCTGCTTGCCAGTAAGTGTTAAAGGCAAGACCTTTTAGCTAGAAGAGGTTAAATGTTGCTTCAGAAAAAAATGCCAGTTCAGTGTGTCTGCTCAACTTGAAAATGTTTTGCAGAGCATATTTTAAAATGACACTGGTAAAGTAAAGCCACAGTACGAGCCTTGAAGACTTTGTTGTCTTTGAGGTCCCAAGAGATGGCTACATCTTCACAATAAAGACTAATGCCTTCTGCATGTGTGTTCATATGTTTGTTACTGTTTCACATGCTTTACTTGGCTTTAAGTGGAAATGAAGAATTTGTTTGGATCCATACCTATGGGTGTTACACTTTAATGAAATGGAATAGTCCTTTGTTAGAATAGTCTTATTAGAGAATTGAGGGAAAGCAGCTGGCAGATTGCTTGAGGTTACTTGTATGGAGTTTTGGGAATATTTGGGAATGCCTTGAAAATGTCAGAATCTCAATTGTCCTTTTAAAAATGGGTGGTAAATTTTTGAATGGGTCTGTATCTTATTAATGGGTTATCTTGTGTTACAGGACTATGGCAAGGAATCTCAGGCCAAAGATGTCATCGAAGAGTACTTCAAGTGCAAGAAATGAATAGAAAATAAATTTTGAACGTGACTGGTGTGTGTGTGTTTAATGGGTGGGTATCTGTGAAATAGTTCTTTGAGTTGCAAAGGATAACATCAGAAGATGAAAGGACTTTGCAGGTCTTAGTGTACTTTATTAGTGTGTAAACTTGGCAACTTGCTAAAACGATAACAGCAATCTCTGCCATTCCTATTCTAGGGTGCTTCTGTTTCCTGTTCCTACCCCAGAGGTTACCAACGTACGGAACTTTGCACAGCTTCTCAGTTGCAGAAATGCTGATGGTTGATTACTGCCTTAGTTTGGCAGTGCTTAGGCCTGTACTTTTTGCAGGGATTCTGAATAACTTGTTAGGGAAAATCTGAAGTACTACTGGATCTGTGATGAAAATTTGGCTCCCTCTGCTGAAACAAATAAGAACAGCCTTAACTGTTACTCAAGTCTTACGAGATGTTGCAGGGATTTTTTAAATGCTATCTTTAATTTATTCAGGGAACTTTCCCCCACCTCAATTCTGAAGCAAACTGAGTGGAATTAGCTTATAAGAAGTACTGTCATGTACTTCTGAATCTCCGATTCTGTAGTTCTCGGTAGTCAAGGTAGCCAAGTAGTTGATCTTACTGCCTGAACAAGGCAGTGTTGAACTGAGTTGCCCAGTGTCTAGGTTTCCCTAGTAGTTGGATAATGTACAGAACTTATGTTTTGATCAATTTTTTGCTTTTTGGAAAAAGGTGGGATTCAGACTGGAATGTAAGATTATTTTCTCTTCTGCAAGTTGTTTTGGCTTACGTTTTCTGTGGAGCAGCTCTAAAGAGTCATAAGAAATCGCATCATTATGCGATTGCAAGCAGGACATGAATGAAAATCTGGGGCTGGGCACCTGTAGACTGAGGAGATGGGAGTGTCATCTCTGACGTATCAGGCTCTTGAGCTTGAATTTCATAATGGTTTGTAACCCCTTTTTTGACATCCCCAATCACTCATAGTGTAGAGGCAGGCTTTTCCAGGTGCTGGGCTCAGATGCACTTTCTCACAGCTCTCATTAAAACTCTTGAAGTCTCAGTTTTGGCCCTGCCACAACTTTCTAGTAGCTACATCTGAGTGACTTGGATTTTGGAGAGGTTCCTGTAGTAATGTTTTCAGGTGTACTTAATGGAGTCACCTGTTCCAAGTCTGGTTAAAAACAAGAAATGTATCCTTGTACCAAACTTTATAGAATGTTCAGTCTTGTCTGAATTTCTCAGTAGAGGAGTTATGGTAGCTTTTAACACTTTAGTTCCTGTCAAGCTTGTATTAAAATAGAGGGAAGTTGTTAACATAAATGTATGAATGATACCATTTTCCATTTGGGAGTTTTTGAATAGTTGAAACTGCAGAAATACTCTTCTGTAGATAAGCGTGCATATCTTATTAAATTAGTGGAGGTTTTTAAACACAGAAATAATTTATAAGAGTATTCCTTTTCAAATGGAGTTGAAAGACAGTAACTGTTGAAAAACTGTTAGTTGAGTTTGGCTAAAAATACTATGTATCTGACTCTTGTATAGAGAAGCACACCAAAGCACACTTCATCTTTGCTCCTGTCTTAAGCTGCATCTTCCCAAGAGTTTTAGATACACTTAAGCTATTTATTCTTCATGTTTTTATAATGTTTACAGCTATATTCTAGAGAAAGAATTGTCTGAAATGGTGGTAGTGTTGGCAGTCTTTAAGAGGATTTATGGTTTGCTTTTCCTTGGCTGGCTTACATCAGAGTTAAACTCACAAAAGGAACTGAGATCCAAAACTGGAGACCAGTACCTGGGTTCAATGGCCTGTGTGTTGCTGATGTTTAAAATCACTTCTTAGAGTAGTAGAGTCATCTCAATTCCTTACATCTCTGGATGTGGGGTAACAAATGGTCAATCAAATATGGTTTGCTTTTCCTTGGCTGGCTTACATCAGAGTTAAACTCACAAAAGGAACTGAGATCCAAAACTGGAGACCAGTACCTGGGTTCAATGGCCTGTGTGTTGATGTTTAAAATTACTTCTTAGAGTAGTAGTCATCTCAATTCCTTACATTTCTGGATGTGGGGTAACAAATGTGCAATCAAATAAGCTCCTCCAGTTTAGTGGATGAAGATTTTTTTTTAAGGTGAAATCTGAAGACTTAAGCACTCAATGTAAAGAAGTCTTTGCTAAGCCTGTGCAAGCAAACTGAGCTTTTCCACATGATTGGGTTTTTTTGCTAAAATACAACTTTTCATTTTGTTTTTTTAACACCACATGACCTAGGAGAATAGAGAAGAGTGTGGCTGCTGGTTCAGATACACTTCACTGACTACAAAGGGAGTTTAGGCAAGTAAATTATCTATAGATATTTACCTTCTGGATGTATATGATTATGTGAAGTTAACCTAACCTGGTCCAGGGCTATCTGATAAAATTGTGGTTGCTTTAGCATGGGCAAAAAATAAGACCTTAGATTATTTCTTTTGACCTTCTAAGTGAAACTTAATTTAGCTTGAGTTCAACTCAAAATGGAAGATTGCTGGTACAACTTTTTCCTTGTCCTGGTTTCAGCTGAGATTGTTAATTTTCTTCCTAGCAGCTGGTATAGTGCTGTGGTTTGGATTTAGGATGTGAATGTTGATAACACACTGATGCTCTTAGTTGTTGCCAAGCAGTCAAGGACTTTTCAGCTTCTCATACTGCCCTGCCAACATGCAGGTGGGTGTCACAGGTAACTGAGGGGTGGCCCAGGAGGTGGTGTAGCTTGGGAACTAGCTGAGTGTCAGTTTTGGATGGTAAGCAGTTGTGCTGTGCAACACTTGTATATTCTTTATTATTCTCTTCCTTTTCTGTCCTATTAAACTGCCTTTATCTCAACCCATGAGTTTTACTTTTTACCTTTTTCAATTGTCTCCTCTGTCCCACTGGATTGAGGAGGGGGGAGGATTGAGTGAACAGCTGTGTGGTTTTAGCTGCCTGCTGGATTAACTGATGACATTCATAAATCAATGGTATCTTGTGGGTGAAGCACTTAGACCAACACATACTAAAGTTTGAGGGGTTCAGTTCCTAATTTGCTATTGGGGGGGGAAGTAGGAAGGATGGTGGAAGAGGAAAGAGGAAATGTTTATGTCCAGGTGAATTGTAATTCTGAGATTATGATCTTGAAGTAAAAGGAAAAGGAGTATTGCTGAAAAGGATGAATAAAAATAAAGATCGTGGAAGTTGCTCACCTTGTGTGGTGTATTTAATATCTGCAGTTGTTGTCCTTTGCACTCCCCTCAATATTTATTTATGGAGAAATCCAGTTTGAAGTAATATGCTGCATTCTAGTATCATCACTGGATTTCCTGTCCAACTATAACACTGGAGTATTTCTTACCTCAGTGGCATTTCATTTTAGGAGCATAGTCATAGTTGTGTGGCATACAAGTGGAAGAGCATCTATCCACGAGGATAGACAATTTCTGCAATGTGAGGAGATAATATCCTGATTTGGGGCATATTTATTTAGAGTGCTTCAGAGGAAGATCCTTGAGAAATAGGATATTCTGGGTAAAGAAAAATGTTCTGTGAGCATTCACAACCTGCAAGAAGGTTGCAGTAAGATTCTGTTCACTTGGTTAGGCTATAATAGTACAATAGCACCAGTTTTCAGATTCATGCTAAGTGTAGGAGAGATGTCTGTTTTCATGGATTTGGAGTTAGTATACTGCTTTTTTTTATGGGAGCAGTGAAATTCCTTACAAGAAGTGTTTTGGGTTTTTCTAAAACATATATATATGGGGAAGGTGCACACAATCTATAGTTGTATAAGACTTAAGAATTGCAAGTTGATATGTTTAGCCAAGTTATTAGTCTTAATTGTAATGTAAATAGGTCCTTAAAGTTTTACATATATTAAACTTGCAAACAATTTGGGAAGTAAGTCCAGCACACTTTGACTATTCAACTTAGCAGAATATTCTTCATTGCATTTTAACTTTTTCCCCCTCACACTGAAAATAAACATCTTCATTATCAAAATGATTTCTCTTTCATTTGTACCATGGGATATTGGAATTGCTACTTCAGCAGTAGCTGGGTTATGCATTTCACCTTAATTGCAATCAAGTGTGATCAGTTAACTCTCAGGGAAAAGGCATTCAAGTAAGGAGAGCTGTAGTCTGGGAGCAAGTTTGTTAGGCAGTGTTTCTTTTGCAACAACGGAATGATACCTCAATATAAGTTCATGGCTATGATTTTTTTAAATAAGTCACCTGATCATTTTACATGGCAATGAATATTAATACTGGGGAATGACAACTCTCTTTTCATGCCAAGGGTTTTTTTTCTTGGAACAGAAAGAACGCTTCCTAAATATTCTTGCCAGAAGGAATTGGGTTGAGATTTTAATTTTCTGATCAAAATGCTTAGGTATCAAGTTAAGTTTTTTCCTGTAATGTTTTGTTTCCTGGAAGTGACCTTAGAAGCTATACAGGGTCAGCATTGGAGAACTGATCTAGACTCGGTTTACTTTATTATACTTTATACTTAAGACTGTCCCTAGTGTTTGATTTATTTCCAGAATTTTCCCACCCAAACTTTGTTTCACCTTAATCTTTCATGAAAGTTAATTTGTTTTTTATTGAAATTGGCCAAGAAAAACAAGTGATTGCTAGTCCTTTGTACTGGAAGACTTAGCATATGCTTCTCTGAGACCTCTGCTTTGTAAACTAGAGAGACCTGGTTTCTTCACACTTTCTTGATAGATGGTATTTTTGTTTTGCTATAGAAGGTGTACTGTCATTGATGCATCCTGCAAGATTCTGGGTAGGGTTTCAGAGGAGTAGATCTTGGATTACTTTTTATATAGCCATCTGTAGTCATCACCTTAAAGGTACCTGTTACCTGTCCCCTAAAAGAATGTGGTTAGACAGTGTTAAACATGAGACTGGGAATTCCAATCCCAAGCATGACTACAGGCTGGGCGA